TACAGGTGACGGGCACTATGGCAAAGAAAAGTAGGTGTCCCCTCTGATTATGTGTGGTCTCACTGCATATTAAGGGACAGATGAAAAACAAAAGAGACGTAGACAGCAGTAAAGAAAGTGTACAAAACTGCTGAACTGCTTACTGATCAGGCATCATGGGATATTGTTTTCACAGGTTTGTGGGAGATGTCTCAGGCTGCCAGCATCCAAAATAAAGCACTTTCTTTTCCACCAACCTGGCCTCTTTATTGGCTTTTCAGGAGTGAACAGCCAGACCTAGGTTTGGTAATTGTACTTTGTACTAAGTTATCATGGCCACGATATGACTGACTTGAAAATCTGTAAGAATTAATCACCAATCCTAGCAATGCTTGCAGTTGGAGGAGGTGTTTCCACGTCATTGTAACTTTCTACTTTCTGGAATCTTTCTGGAAGGCCCATGTTGGATGGATGGCATACTAGTCTTTTACAGACTATCATTCATATAAGTTAGGTTCACATTATTTTTATATTTGTGCAGGACAATATTCTTGGATTCCAGAAGGGAGAAATCAATTTTGCTAGCTTTGTAACTCATAATGGGTTTTGTAATCACACTTCAAAATGATCACTCTCTTCTGTTTTATCCAATTCTGATAGCACAGAAAGATGGCACATACCCAGCACCAAGATTCTCACCAGGGAATTATAAACTTTCCTAAGTGCTCTTTTGGGACAATGATGAAGATGTTCTCAAGATTATTTCCCCAAATGAGTTAAGTACTCGATATCTAGACAGAGGTGTAGAAATAGGATCATTAAACCATTTTTCTACACCACACTCACCAACTTATCATTCTAATCAAACCATGTAAAACCTTTTGGATCAATTGAGAAGAACATGGTGAGGCATAGAGAGTTAAGAAATATGAAATTGTCTCTTCTAACCATGCAGCTCTCTTGTAAATGCAAATATTTACTCCATGTCCATACTCCCAGATGAAGGGTCTTCTCTAGGACTACGCAGAAGAACCCGATAAAGAGCAATAATAAGTTTCTGCGACCCCACTCTAAAATCATTCCATGTCTACTTTTTCTGATTATTATTGTCACTTTGTGTGTGAGTATCCTGGTTTGTTGACTGGCTCACTCATGGTCCAATGTTCTCTGATGTCATGCATTGACTTTTCCATTCTATTCTGGTCCCTACTCCAAGATTGGGTAGTCAGCAAGGGTGTGGAGTGGCCTAAGCTAACCATGGAAATGAATGCACCCACATTCTTAGTCCTGACCAGAAAATGGAGCTATTGAGTCGCTGGAATTTGGAGTTGGAGTTGAAGTTTTATGCATGGTACAGGTGACGGGCACTATGGCAAAGAAAAGTAGGTGTCCCCTCTGATTATGTGTGGTCTCACTGCATATTAAGGGACAGATGAAAAACAAAAGAGACGTAGACAGCAGTAAAGAAAGTGTACAAAACTGCTGAACTGCTTACTGATCAGGCATCATGGGATATTGTTTTCACAGGTTTGTGGGAGATGTCAATAAATTAGTGCTATTTTTATCACCACTTGACAGATTAAGAAACTGAGACTCCTAAATATGAAGTAACCTAGGCCAAAATCAGATTTTCACTTGATTACAAAGCCTGACAATCGTAGTGCATGGGTGGTGAATTGCCATCAGGAGACAGTTCTATAAGAAGTTCTCACTTATTTGCATCAGTAGAGTTTCTGCAAGATTTTAAAATCATTTCCACTGTGGAAGTTTTACAAAGTTCTACCATCAGAATCAAAACATCCCCTGACTTCACTATAATCCTTAGCCTTCTCTTTTCTCTCACCTCCAGCAAAATCAGGCTTTTACCCATTATTTATGAACAATTTGGAAAACTGTCAATTTTTGCCAGGGCTTTCATTACCTCTGTAAGATATCTATGTTATGGATAGATATCAAAATGTTCCAATTTACCTCTTTTCCTGTGCATGCATTTGGAAAAATTCTACTTTGCAAATATAAAGCTCAATCTGATTCAGTCCAAATTCAATCAAAATCAATCCAAAAACTCAAGAACGCTTCAATGTTTCTTATACTTATAACATAGGTAACAACTGATTGTGACATCATGATTTCCAGAAATAAATAAATACACACACACACACACACACACACACACTCTATGTGTTTACTATGGCTTTCGCAACTTCTTTTTCCTTCTATAGATGAGTTCTCCTTACCTTACTGTATAGGAACGTAAATGTGGCTCACCAAGACTGTAGATCCTGAATTGCCATTCTCAGCTGACCCTGAATAAATCCATCTTTGCAGGAGAAACATCTGGTAGTATATTTCAGGTCAATACAAGGTGGAGGCTGTAATCCAAAGAAGATGGAGAGGAGTCAGTTTCTGATAAGAGGGGCAATATTTTCTAAGCTGTACTGAGAAGGAACAAGGAATGGCTTGTGCGATTCACACATTCTAAAAATAAAATACTTCTTAAAATCTTATTATGCTTATAAATGAATATGCTAGATGCTGGACACACACACAGATTAGCAAGGCCAACGCAGTCACTGCCTCACATAACTTTCATTTAGTTGTCAAGAAGGAAAGCAGAATTTTCCACCCCAAAATTTGCCTCTTTGTCCTAAGGATTATTTTAGGTTCATTATTTGTTTACTTACTTACTTCTGTATTTTTCATTTTTTTTTCTGTTTAAATTATTTTAAGTTTATTCTTTTAAAATACAGCAGACACAGGAAAGGCTAAAAAAATTGAACAGAAGTTCCTTTGCATAAGAGATGCTTACATTTGTAAGAGAGATCTCATTCTGTTAGGATGCTCTCCTCTCTGTACCAGAAAGAGGTCTTGAGTAAATCTCTAGGACAATGCAAACAAATAGAGGAAAACAATATAATGGGAAGTACTAGAGATCTCTTCAAGAAAATTGGAGCTATCAAGGGAACATTTCATGCAAGGATGGACACAATAAAGGACAGAAACAGTAAGGACATAGCAGAGGCAGAAGAGATTAAGAAGAAGTGGCAAGAATACACAGAAGAGCTATAAAAAAGGTCTTAATGACCTCAATAACCATGACGGTGGGGTCACTCACATAGAGCCAGACATCGTGGGTGTGAAGTCAAGTGGGCCTTAGGAAGCATCACTAGNCGAAATACCAGGCTGGATGAAGCACAAGCTGGAATCAAGATTGCCAGGAGAAATATCAATAACTTCAGTTAGGCAGATGACACCACCCTTATGGCAGAAAGCAGAGCAACTAAAGAGTCTCTTGATGAGAGTGAAAGAGGAGAGTGAAAAAGTTGGCTTAAAACTCAACATTCTAAAAACAAATATCATGGCATCTGATCCCATCACTTCATGTTAAATAGGTAGGGAAATAATGGAAATAGTGATAGACTTTATTTTCTCGGGCTCCATAGTCACTGCAGACAGTGACTGAAGTCATGAAATTAAAAGACACCTGTTCCTATGACAAACCTAGACAGGGAACTAAAAAGCAGAGACATCACTTTGCCAACAAAGGTGCTATAGTCAAAGCTGTGGTTTTTCCAGTAATCATGTACAGGTGTGAGAGTTGGACCATAAAGAAGGCTGAGCACTGAAGAATGGATGCTTTTGAACTGTGGTGCTGGAGAAGACTCTTGAGAATCCTTTGGACAGCAAGGAGAACAAACCAGTCAATCCTAAAGGAGATCAACCCTGAATATTAATTTTCAGGACTGATACTGAAGCTGAAGCTCCAATACTTTGGCCACCTTATGGGAAGAGTTGACTCGCTGGAAAAGACTGGGAAAGATTGAGGGCAGCAGGAAAAAAGGGAACAGAAGATGAGACGGTTGGATGGCATTACCAACTCAGTGGACATTAGTTTGAGCAAACTCTGGGAAACAGTGAAGCAACAGGGAAGCCTGGTGTGCTGCAGTCCATGGGGTCATAAAGAGCCAGACTTGACATAAGGACTGAACAACAACTAGAAACTCTTATCAATGAAAAAGAAGTGATTTAAATCAACCTGCATAACAACCACTGGAGAAGGAAATGGCAGCCCACTCCAGTGTTTTTGCCTAGAGAATCCCAGGGATGTGGAAGCCTGGTGGGCTGCCGTCTTTGGGTCGCACAGAGTCGGACACGACTGAAGCGACTTAGCAGCAGCAGCAGCATAACAACCACACCATTATTTGCTGTATTTTCCTGGTAACCTCCTAAAACTGCCTCCCTTTCCCCCACACCATCCCCATCTTTCTTTGGTCTTTAGCTAGAGATGGTATTTAAGGTGATGGTTTGGGCCATTTGGGGGAAATTACTTAATGGTTCTGATCCTCTCCCAAGTACACAGGAGGTATATATGTTTTTATACTTCTGTTTGTTTCTTCTTTTCATTCTTGTTAATTTGTCTTTCTGTTTCAGGGAGGTCTCAGCCAAGAACCTAGCAGATAAAACACTGACCAGCTTAAACGAGTTCTCTCTCCTTAAATAGGTTGGTAGATTATAAAGCCTTGAGTTATGTTACAGAGACGGCACTGCACAAATGTGCAACAAAAACCCCTGTCTCCACGATGACCCAGGAACCACAAATTTCAATCTACTTAAAACTCAGGGAATGGAAATGTTGTTACTCAAGCCCTTTACAAAGCAAGATGTTCTTTAATAAGAAAGATCTAGCTTCCAGCAACACAGTAGCTTATATGGACTTATTCAAAACTGGCCAACCAAATTTCAAGTTTAAAATTCCCCTAACCGCTTAAATTTCACCCCAGACCCTGGATCAAGCAGAGAGATTTGAACCCTGTCTCCTGTCTCCTCGCCAGTTGACCCTGCTTCTTTTTCTCTAAAGCTGGTAACACAGTACTGGCTTCTTTGAATGTTGGGCAGGGAACCCTTACTTGGTAACAAGGGTAGAGGAAAAATGATTTTTTCCTCCCCTACACAGTCAGTATAGAAATAAAAGTAAATAAATAAATGCAATGACTTAAAGATAAAAAGGCAGTTGAGATGGAATGAGAGTAACGGGAGAGGAGAGTTTAGAGACAGCAGTGAGAGGGGGTCTCTCTGAAGAGGTGGCATTTGTGCAGAATGGAACTGTGCTAGAATCTGAAGTGGGGTATGGAGGAAAGCCAGGAGGAAACGAGATCAGAGAGCAGAGTCCATGGATGCTGTTTCTGAACGAAAGCATGTTTATGCCTCAGCAGGAAGCAGGTGCTTGTGCAGCTATTTGGGGTTAAAACAATTTAAAAAAAAAACTCTAATGTCAGTTCATTTTAAAAAGAAATCTATTAGCAGCCCACCTGTGGCACTTGACCATGGATTCTCCCATCATGCCTTTTTTTTTGAATCCTGAGCATTTTGAGCTAACTCTCTGTGTGCTGGGTCTATGTCCCTGTTTCAATAATCTGTTTAACCTTAAAAAAAAAAAATCACCTGGATGTTATGCAAAGCTTGTTCTCAAACCTTTTGCAAGCTCTGCTCCAGTCTCCAGCAAACTGCTGAAATACTGCATCCTGATGTTTCAGCTGCTACAAAGTTCTTGGTTCCTTCAGGAATATTTTACATTTCATTGGTATAATGATAGAGTTTATGATTATCTGCAGTATGTAATTACATCCATTAATAGTAACAGCACATTTTTACATTAATTATAATGAGAATTAATAAGTAGTTTTATGGGTTTTTGGCTAGAAGGAAAAGTTTTGGTACTAATTACTCTTGTATAGCCAAAGATGAATTTATGCATAAATTTACTTTGGTAATTATTTTAGGAAATTATGAAATTTCAAGTTCCAGTTACCATGAATTATGGAAATAAGAAAAAATATGTATATCAAGTGGGAAATTAGGCTTTGGAATGCTAAACGAAAGGAATTTTAAGAGGAGGAAATTTGTCATGGAGTTTAAGAAGATAAAGACAGAGGGACACGAATTAAAACCCAATATTTGCCACTTGAAAGTGAAAGTCTCAGTTGCTCATTTGTGTCCAACTCTCTGCGACCCCATGGACTGTAGTTCACCAGGCTCCTCTGTCCATGGACTTTTTCACGCAAGAATACTGGAGTGGGTTGCCATTTCTTTCTTCAGTGGATCTTCCCAACCCAGGAATCGAACCCAGGTCTCTAGCATCACAGGCAGATTCTTTACCATCTGAGCTACCAGGGAAGTCCATGTCCATCTGCTACTTATTGTCCTTATTTAAACCCTCCCTCCCTTGGTTTCATCCTTATTTGTAAGTTAGGGCTCAAAATAATCACTGCCCTGAGTTGTACCAAATTAAAGAGATAATTTTATAAATTTTTAGTATGCTTCCTGGTATATCATAAATATTCAATAAATGATAGTTGCAAAATGAAGATAAAGGAGGCAGGTTTATGTAATAAGGGTTTTAAGAAATGTATACATGGATTCTCCTTAGAAGTCTAAGAGAAGGTAAACTTATTTAGAGCCATACTTTTTGATATCTGCAAGAGAACACAGACCAAATATAAGTGAGGCTGAGAGAGGCAGGAGGTGATATGGAAACAATACTTCACGGCCCATAAAATCAGAAAGGCATCACAATTTTGAATGGAAGGTGAACGACAGTTAGAAAATCAATTCCCTCCTGGCATGCATATTATCCATATTAAGGCAAAATGATTTTACAAGCATCTCACTGAAATGCAGGGGAGTGAGATACTGAAATTATTTAGGTACCCAGGGCTAGTTAAGAGAGACTAATGTGTGATATAAATCATTACTAATTTAGCGCTTGCAAAATACCTTCAAATGTTTACATGAAGCCTTACTCCCTGAATATTTTTCAGTCTCTCTCCCTCACCTCTCTCATATTTCTGTTCTTCAATGTGATTACTCTTGCCTGGAAGGGTTGCAGAATATTCTTCCTCATGACGAGAAGAGGTGGAGATTTTTCTACCTTTTGAAGTAGTCAAAATCTTAATTATCTCAGTTTCACTTATTAAATTGCCCAGTCCACACGGCAATCCTTGTGGTAGTTAGGGCAGGGGCTGTTAGTCCCATTTTTGTGTCTGGCAAATATTTGCCCTGAATTCTATTAAGATACATTCTCCTTCTCTCACCCAGTTAATCATGAAGAGTTTCCCATTCTTTCAGACCATAAAAACAGAAGGCAATAGATCTGACCAATCAGGGTGGTTGATAACAGTTCTCTGTGTGAATTTGTCTTTCTCTTATCCACTGCCTCCATTAAGAACACATCAGCAGTGTGAAGAAAAGAAAATACCTTAACATTTTCCAAATCTTGACACAGCACAGAGCCTTCAATAATGAGATTTGCATTCCCTCTTGTGTTTCCTCCTTCAGGGTCTAGTAAGTGTGACATGCAGATGGCTGTCAAGCAGGTCTGGGGACAATGTTACAAACAAAAGCTCCCTGGCAGAGCCAGGAAATGCACCCTCTGTCTTCCCCCTGAAGACTTGAAATGACCTCTGCTTGAAGCCTCTGTCTTCATTTGTGGAAAATTCTTCACTTCACATTTGGAGATATGGGCTCAAGGGATGCAGGCTAATGTCCTCCTAAACTGGGTTTAAGATTAGACCATATTCCCAACATCTTGCTGCATTTAAAGAACCCTAAATTCCTCCAAGTGAAAGTGTGAAAGTGTCAGTCCTCAGTTGAGTCCATCTCTCTGGTACCCAATGGACTATAGCCTGCCAGGCTTCTCTGTCCATGGAGTTCTCCAGGCAAGAATACTGGAGTGGGTAGCTATTCCCTTCTCCAGGGGATCTTCTCCACCCAAGGACTGAACCTGGATCTCCTGCATTGCAGGCTGATTCTTTACCATCTGTGCCATCAAGGAAGCCCAATTTCCTCCAAAGGAAGCCTAATTAATCTCTCTTTTCAGTGGGCCCTGGGAAATGTGCACCACAACTCAGAGAGACCTAGATCTCTTTATTCCCCTTCAATACCTTCACTTAAGGGGTACCCAAACCTGCTTTCTCTCATGAATCAGTAGCAGTGATTTGCTAAAAATGTTCATTTGGGAACTTCCCTGGTGGTCCAGTGGTTAAGAATCCACCTGCCAATTCAGGAGACACAGGTTCCATCTCTAGTTCTGGAAGATTTCACCTCAGGGCAACTGAGGCCCAGTGCTGCAACCACAGAAACCCACACACCCTAGAGCACATGCTCTGCGACAGAAGCCGCTGCAATGCGAAGCCCACACACGGCGATTAGAAAGTGCCGTCCGTTCTCTTGAAACATCCCATCCTCGCCTTCTCCCAGAGTCCACAAGTCTGTTCTATACATCTGAGTCTCTTTTTCTGTTTTGCATATAGGGTTGCGCTTGCTACAACTAGAGAAAGCCCATGTGCAGCAAGGAAGATCCAGTGCAGTAAAAATAAACAAGCAAAGAAAGAAATTTTTAAAAAGACTTCAGGACTCAGAGGGCACCATGTCTGTTAGATACATGCCACATAACAAATATGGGCTCATTCTAAGGAGAACTATTTTGAACTCATCAGATAAGCCACTGTCTTGCTGAATCTCCTCTTTAGCTGCAGATAAACAATAAGCTTATACTGATAACAGGGGAAGGGTGACTACTCAGCTCTTAAATAAAGGAGAGGCCATCATTTATACACTGCTATGTTTAAAACAGATAACCAACAAGGACCCTTGTTATATAGCACAGCGAACTCTCCTCAATATTCTGTAACAATCTAAATGGGAAAAGAGTGTAAAAAAGAATATATACATGTATATGTATAACCAAATCACTTTGTTGTACACCTGAAACTAAACATTTTTAATCAACTATGCTCCAGTATAAAATAAAACTTAAAAAAGAAAAAAAGTCAATAGGCAATGGAGATTCAAGATTCACCAGAATCTAAGTCAAACAATTTCACATTGTATTTGAAAGGCATTTTCCTTGGCCATGCTTCCTTCCCTTTAAAATTATTGAAACTAATGTGCACATTAGTATCCCAAAACTGCCACTGTAGATTTTAAGTGCAGTAACAGAGCAAAAAGATTAGGTGTTCAATTGTATGCCCCATTTATCCATTCATCCATTCATTCATTCACTAATTCAACTAATATTTATTTTTAGTTTATTCTCGTTGACATTGTTCAAGACAACTGGATAACATCACTGAACTAAAGAGCCATAACATCAGCTCTCCAGGTAGAGTTCTATGAAGGAGACAGACAATAAACAATAAACTTGAAACAACAGCCTGTTGTGGAGACTTCTGTATTCACTGAATGTTAATCTTATTTCAACCTTAGGTCATGTTTTTCTGTGAACCTCTCTGAGTTTCTATAAAACTCTACCTCCTCATAGCACTTTTAAAATAAAATTGGTGCGCATGTGCGTGCACTCATGTGTGTGTGTGTGTGTTTAGGGAGGAGAATGACAAAAGTATATTGAATGTAGGTGTCAACTAATTTATAAATGAGGGAAGGATTCCAACTGGTTTGTCTGACTCTAAAGTCATCCTGCTGCTGCTATGCTGCGCCAACTCTAAGAAACAGTGCTGCAGAAATGAACAAATAAAAGTAGAATTTTCTTCTGTGAATTGTATGTGTCCTGATAGAATCCAATCACCATTCCTACTTTCTCTCTCTTTCTTCCTTTTCTTCAATCTTTTTCTCCTTCAACCCTCCCATCACTTCTCACTTCCTTTCCTAAAGTAATAATAATAGGAAATATAAAAAAGGAAGACAAGTCGGCTGAGAATACTCAGGTTAAAAGAATCAGATAATAGATATTTACTTGTTCATTTTTATAAATTTTGGTTTTCCTGATTCTTCAACATGCCCAGCCCCTTTTTTTTTAACATAAAAAAAAGAAGTTGAATAATTTATTTCTTCATTTGTCTTTTGCCTTTCTCCCATATTATCTTTCCCCTGGAAAAAAAAAAAAAGAAGTCCGCAGGGTCTCCTCTTCTCTCAAAAGTAAAGTTCTTACCAAGAATTTTTGAACTTTAGAAATGGACTCTAATCTATATTTATTTTCACATTAAAAATAAATATATGAATTTTTTTCTACTTTGCATGGAAATTATAGTTCTGTTGATCTTAGGGATCTCCCAATACAGTGTTAAAATCCAGAGAGTATTTCCCTTTCTCCATATCATTATTTTTAATGAAATGGCAACCCTTCCTTCTATCTTCTCTTCAGGGATCCAGTTTAAGTCTCTCTCCTCCTCTGTGTCGTCAGAGTGACTTGCTACCCAACCAATGTCTGCAGTAAACTTACAGACTTTCACAGTTGGCTTTATACTTACTTGTCTGAGACAGTAAAATTCAGGACTTAAGAGGGAAAATATCTGTGAAAAAGGAAATACACAAATGCATGTGCACACACACACACACACACACACACACACAGGTGTATTCTTAGACCCAAGAGAGTGATTCTGTTGGACCACTTCTTTCCCTGTTCCATGCACAGCAAAAAACTACATACAGTTAATGCTTCAAAAAATACTTGTTTTTAGTGTGTTTAAACTGCTCAGGGAGATGCTGATCTTCCTTTACTGGGAATCTGCCCTGGAATAAATAATCTTGTCATCATAAAGTAAGTCAGTAATAAATAAAATGATTTCCCTATGCAATGTTACATTCTTCAAAAATTTTTTAGGTTTTTAGCTCTTTCTATTTCCTAGATATTTACTATAAGGATGCATATGGGAAGTAAGAGCTTTAGCATGCAATTTAGGGGCTTGAAATCCCACTCAGTTCCCTCCATAAGAACAGTGAACTAACATTACCATAACCTATGACTGGAAGATTCCTATTTCTCTGCCTCTTTCCTTTCTTCCTGACAATACCCAGGTATGTTTCAACTGCCACATCACTCTACCTTTCTTAATTCATACTATCTGGAAACAATAAAAAAGAAAAGTAAAAATCTGCAGGTCAAAACTGTCATATTTTGAAATATGTATGGAAATCCTCCATAAGTGAAGTGGACTGGAGACTTCCCCAAAAAAACTAATTTTCAAAACAATCTGCTTTACATAAAGTACAGTAAGACTCTGCGCTGGTCAAGTTTACTCCTTAAGTTTCATCCTTGATAAAATGAGGAAGCAGAATGACTACCAGTTTTATACAAAGTACGTCAAGTCCAAGGCCAAACTGCAATTTCTGTCTTCTTTAAATGGACCTCCTTTCATTTGTCATGTCCCTTTTATGGGTACCTCTGTGAGTCTTCATTTGTGGTTTTCTTACACTTTGAATTTCCCAATTATACCTCTTCCTTGTGCATCTAGTAAAGTTTTAAAATGGATACTGAGGGACTGGCCCAGTGGTTAAGAATCCATGCTCCCAATGCTGGGGGCACGGGTTCTATCTCTAATCAGGGAACTACTACATGTCACATGGTATGACCATAAAATTTTAAATAAATAAATAATAAGGATACTGAATTAATATAACCTATGTCATATTCAAATGCATGCTAGACCAAATACGTGTCTGATGAGAGGAAGGTCCTGGGCCACCTTCAGGGGAAAATCAGTAATTGCCAAATATAATTTTTGATAAATTAACTCTCATTTCTGAAACCTGAAATGAATAGAACTCCCTTGAATCACCAGTCACAGCCCTATGTGATGTGTATGGCCTATGTCTTAAGAGAAAAAGGGTGAAAAAGATATCTTTCCTAAATGCATCAGTTCTCTGTGTATTTATTCCACTTCACTTTATAAGTTGCTAAAATAACCCTTCCAACAATTACTAGGTGGCAAAAACCAAATCTCAGTTATAGTTAAATACTACTCAACAAGAGAACTTGGAAAAATGAGTGTTTTGGGATTATCCTGTAAGAGGTTTTACTCTCAAATAGTGGCAATTATTGTTTGTACTATTGCAGTCTATATACTACTGGACCAACAAGTGTAAAAACCACTGGTTGGCAAAGACATGCCTTGCTTTCTCAACTTTCCTGGTAACTGATAACAGAAGCTGACCTGGAAATTGCTCTTCTGTGACAGTGATGTCTTAAGCTGGATATTCTTGCAGTTTAGAGCAGGATTTCATGATAACTTTGGAGTCTTCGTATCTTAAAATAGCCTATTTTCAGAATAAAGTTTTGTTTCTTCTTTTGCCAAGATCAAAATGTATACATTTCAAAATATTATCCAGGAAAAAAATCAACAGACCTTTTAATGATCACTAAAAATTTGATTCGGAGTAATAATCAACATTTACACTACCTACTATACTATCAAGTGCTCTATACTTTAAAAACGGTACTCCCAAATTACAGATGAGCAAACTAATATGGTACCTCAAATTTTGAGATAATTAATTCATGGGGAAGAGCTTAATTCCACAGGGGCAGGAGCTGGATTTAATTACAATAGAGTTTATATCCATGACACCACTGGTT